GCAGTTATTGCATAATTTCAGAGCGAAGTGAGCAGTTATTTGCCCAGAGGGAACATGAAGTAGCCATGAAGGAAAATGACCCCATGTATCTTGAAAGAAATTAAAATGTAAGAATCGGTGACAATTAGGGTGCCTTGGTGGCATCAATCTCCCTCCTTGGTGTCTCAATTTCAAATAGAATGGCTGAGGAAGTAAAGCATTTTCACAGGAATGTGTTAAATCTAAATTTACCACCAAAGTAGCTACTGTCAGATGCTCACAAAGAGCCTGGTAAAACGCCTAACGTGTCACTGTATCAGGAAAGTTGAAATTATTTTCAAAGACATGATCATTAGGAAGAGTGGCATTAATGGAGGAGGAGGGGCAGCAGCAGGGTCATCCATTTGGACAGGTTATAGGCTACCGACTTATACATACAGTGGCTGCTTTTCTTCTTTTGCAGTCAAAAAAGTCAAAACAGGAAATTTTCTGGACAAGTAAATGCATACGTATAATGATTTGTGACATTTTGAACATATAAATGAACACGCAGAATGTCCCATTTCCTAATAGTATAATCTTAACACACATGAATTCTGTCAGCAGGGAGACTAAACAAAAACAAGGCCAGAAATACACAAACAGAAATAATATCTAGTGGAAGCCAGTTTGGCTCAGTGGATAGAGCATCGGCTTGGGGACTGAAGGGTCCCAGGTTCGATTCTGGTCAAGGGCATGTACCTTGGTTGCAGGCACATCTTTAGTAAGGGGTGTGCAGGAGGCAGCGGATTGATATTTCTCTTTCATCGATATTTCTAGCTTTCTATCCCTCTCTCTTCCTCTCTGTAAAAAAGTCAATAAAATATATTTTAAAAAAGAAAGAAAGAAATGATGTGTAAATCCTACCCACAGCACACCATTCATGCCTAGGACCTAGGTGTGGATTGCATACCTGCATGCTTTTTGCAAGAAGAGCGTGTACATTGAAAGAGGCAGAATCTCTTTGAGATGGTCACTTCCACACATAATGCGACTTATCATTTTCTATCTCTCTGCTACTCCTTCATGTTTATCTTATTGATTCTTTAAAAACAAATATATCGTCTTTCCTTTAAGCATGCATGCAGGCCAGTTGGTCTTTCCTAATGCTCAGCTTTTCATAGATTGCGGAGTTCTGCTCAACTTTCTCTTATTCTTATAGAATTCCAAATCAGCCCCGGAACCCTTCCCCAGGTAGTTGGAGACTATGATCTGTGGCTTAAATGTAAATGATGAGTCCCGTAGTAGAGGGGCATTGCATTGCTATACCTTTGCCATTTGACACAGTGCACGAGGCACAGTCCCGTTCACAGACTTGGCGCATTTGGTGATAGTGCTGTGACTGCGCAATGGGACCCACACCTTTGCAGTGGGGAGGGTGACAGTGGGCGAAGGTGATTTTTCTACATGTGGTCTTAACACCTTCAATCTGTTACAAAGTGGAATTGATCAAGGCAAGTATCAGGCTGTATATCACTTCATCAGTGTGGAGGCTGGAGAGTGTGGGGAGGGGGGGAGAGTGTGCTTTGGAGGGAGCCCTACAATTGGCCACAAAGCTGATCAGGTAGGTGTGGGAAGTGGCACCCTTTGAGTATGTGCTTCCTGCTATTGCCTTCTATTGAGACCTCACAGAAACATCACTTTAGCCCCAACTGGTTTGGCTCAGTGGATAGAGCGTTGGTCTGTGGACTGTAAGGGTCCCAGGTTCGATTCCAGTCAAGGACATGTGCCTTGGTTGCAGACATATCCCCAGTGGGGGGTGTGCAGGAAGTGGCTGATTGATGTTTCTCTCTCATTGATGTTTCTGACTCTCTATCCATCTCCCTTCCTCTCTGTAAAGAATCAATAAAATATATTTTTAAAAATAAAAATAAAACAACTTCACTTCAGGCTAACTATGGAGAAAACTCATGAGAACCCCTAACATAATCTTCCTGTGGGTTACACACTGGCAACCAAGCCTTAAACCTGGGATGGGGTCAACCATTCTGCCTCTTCCTGCCCACGCATGTCTGGACTTACATTTGGAGAGTCTGTAAACAGCTTCTGTAGCATAACGTGATCCTAGATTCTGTTTCCAACTCCATCCGACCTGTATGCACATTGTACACCCTGTGTTTTTCAGATTAGACTTTTCTGTTCTCCACACAAGCTGTGTGCCTTCACACCCCGAGGGTTTGCTCAAGCTCCTCTCCGTCACGCCCACATCTGTCTCATTCCTTCCCTTCCTTCAGAGCTTCCTCATGCCTTTCTTCATTCAGAAATAATCCCCTTCTCTATATGCCTTTCTTCATTCAGAAATAATCCCCTCCTCTATGCCACAATGGCAATCTGTTTTCACTCTTTTATGCCAGTTTGTATAACTTGGTTTATACCTAGTCAAGTTTTGTGTTTATGCCTGATCTCTTCAATAAGACTATTGACAAATTGAGGGTAGGATCAATTGGTATATCAACTGGCATATCCCTGAGGACCAATGCTTTGTATATTCACTGTTTCCACACACACAGGTGCATGAAGTCTCTCTCTCTCTCTCTCTCTCTCTCTCTCTCTCTCTCTCTCTCTCTCTCTCTCCACACAGTCTTATAATGCAAAGCTCTTCTTAGAAATTTCATTAATGTCTGAAGGATCATTGCTACCCTCTCTTCCCCCTCCATCCTACCCTAATAATTTGACTTCCACCAATAAAGAGGACAATGATATTATCAAGATCACCAGGAGTACTGTGTGTGTAGTGTATGTCAGGCAGTTGGCCACTCATGGTGCCACATTGAAAAATTGCAGGTTTTTGGTGAAGGGTAAACTTGGCACAGCAGGTAGTATCTTTTTAACTTTCTTCTCTGTCTTTAGGGGTGTGTGCGTGTGTGTGTGTGTGTGTGTGTGTGTGTGTGTGTGTAATATTTCTTGATTCTCTAGTGAAATGAAGAACTGGTGAGAATAAAAGCATCAGCTCTCCTTCATACCTATAAATGGGCTGTGTCCACCTTTCCCTGCAAAGGGCTGACTGTGTGCTTACTTAAGCACAGTTACTACCTTCCAGGATGAGGAAAAGGGGTGGAGAGTGAGCCTTGGCAAAAGAACTTCCTGAATAGACTGCCCTAAGTATATCCCTATATAATGAAGAGGGAAGAGGAGGTTTTCAAGCCTGGGCGCTGAAAGAGTCATTGGTCAGAGGATATCAGTCAAGGTGTTATGTTGAGAACTGCCATTGCCCTCCCCACTTCCTCATACCCCCATCCCAGGATGCCAAGTGAGTGAATATCTGCACAAAGGAGACTGGGTTCTGCCTGGGGAGCAGGCATCGCAAGGACTATATCCCTTACCCATGTCAGCTTGCTTCTCTTCTTACCCCTGCCCGCCCTTAGGCATTGGGGCCTCCATTTCAGTATCCACTCGGGTGTGTGAATGCGTGGGGGGAGGAGAACTGGATTCTGAACTCTATTATATCCCTATCTCTTCTGACATCCATGTCCCCACTGATAGGGGAAGGACCAGGGGCCTCACCGGGGGCTGGGGTGAGGCAGTTAAGTGTGAAGGGACCAAAGGAAGGCGCACAGGCCTGGACCCATTGTCCTCCCAGCCTGTTGCTGAGCCAGGTGGGTGGACAGGGGCCCCAGGGGCAGGGATGCAGCCTGTTGCTGGTTCTCCCCCAGGTCTGACATCAAACTGACAAACCTCTCCCCACCTTTCCTGGGGAAAAATATATAGATAATGATGTGCCCAGTCTCCGGGCAAGGACAGTGAGCTCTGGGCAATTTCCAGGGATTTGTCACTTCCATTCCCACGCGCGCAGGTGTGTCCACGGGATGAGGGAGGGGGGGGTCCCCGAGAAGGACCCCCTGCGACTCCTGTCTGTCCTTTTCCAGAGCCTCCCACGTGGCCGGTTCTGTGCGCTGGGGACCAACAGAGGGCAGATCCCGCTGAGCTTGGCTCTGGGAGACTTTGGATTCTCAGGGGACTTAGGTACCATGGACAGCGGCTTTCACGCAGCCCCTCCCGCACCTGGCGCCCCCCCCCCCCTCCCGCTGCAGATCCTGTCCCTGCAGGTACCTGCTCCCACAGTGGGTCGCATGCACACAAAACACCGGGCCCCTCTTTCCTTCCGCCTGCCCTTCGGGGAGAAGAGACAGGCGGTGTAGACACTAGGGGCCAGCTGCCTCCTCTGCAGCGGCAGGATGGGATGCGAGGGGCAGGGACAGCCTGCCTGCAGGAGGTTTGGGCGAGCTGGAGGGTCCGGAGGGACCAAGAATCCCCGCCCCAGCCCCCTTCCCCACCCCACCCCCTGCACCCCTCCATGCGCTCGGAGGAGTGAGAGCGGCAGAACACACCGCCTGCCCTGAGAGCCCCCCGCTCCGGAGCTGCCCGGGCGGGCGGGCGCGCCTGCAGCGCGGAGCCCGCGGCGCCTGCAGCAGCGTCAGCACCACCTCCATCCAGCCCCCTGCATCCTCCAACCGGCCTCCATCGGAGCCCGAGCTCCCGGCCGGCCCCTTCCTCCGCCCAGGGGCACCCGTCCACGTGCGGAGGGGCCGACGGGCAGCCTGATCGCCGGGGAGGGGGCATCGGGACCCGAACCCGCGCCTCCGAGCTCCCACTGCGGACGAATCCGGGGCCCGCGCGCGCCTAGACAGCAAGCGGAGGCCGGTGTGCGGCGCGGAGGGATCCGCCTGGGCCGCGCCTCCCTCCCGGTTCCCTCCCTCCCTCTCTCCCTCCTCCCTCCTCTCGCGCCCCCGCCCCGCCGCCCTCCTCCCTCCCGCCCGGCTGCGCTGCCGCCGCGGCGGCCGCTGGTGCTGCTGCTGCTCCCGCCGCCGCCGGGATATAGTGCGGGCGGCGCGGAGCGCGCATCACTCTGCGCGGAGCAGCGCGGGCTGCGGGCGGCGGGCGGGCGGGCACCGGGAGCGGCCGTGGCGGCGGAAGGCTCTCTCTCCGGGGCTGGACTCCGTAACTTTGCAAGTGTCCGCCGCCGCCGGTGTCACGTCCTGAACATGAGCCTCCTCCTCGCCTTCTACCTGCTCGGGTTGCTCATCAGTCGCGGGCAAGGTAGGAGCGCGGTGCTTTCTGGCATGTACTTTCCCTCCCTCCCACCCCACCCGGGGAAGAGGGCCATGAAAGAACTAAAGTTCTAGTTTTTTTTTGTTTGTTTGTTTGGTTTTTTTTGGGGGGTGTGTTTTTTTAATTGGTGGTGGTTGCCTTGATGGTTCGCGGCTGCTCACAATTAACTGCATGTGTCTCTTCAATAAGAGGGGATGCAGAATTGGAGATGGGCATCGGAGAGCAGGAGATGGAGACAAACTGCCTTCCCCCCCTTTTTTTTCTCTCTCCCCCCATTGGGATCTTGGCTTTCTCTGGTTTCATTGTCAAAAAATGGGATGAGTATGTATGTTGGTGTGTGTGGACAGGTACATAGCGGAGATTGCGGAAGGAAAGGGAGCGAGGTGGTTTTACAGAAGCAGTGGAAACTATCAGAATGAAACTCGTTTGGGAAATGTGTGTTCTGTGCAAGAAATGCGATTCTTAGACATCTCCCCCCCCCCCTTTTCCCCCCAAGACCCCAATTCCTGATGAGAAAGTGAAGGAGGATGCCTTATTTCTGTTGGAAACTAAGAGATGAGAGAGGGGCCATGGATATGGTGTAAGGAAGCAAATGGATAAAACTAGGGAGATGTTGCAGTCATTCATTTTAACCCTCCCCACCCCCTTGTTCATACATGGAGGTTGGAAATTGTTGGAACATCAGATGGCTATTACACCTGAAGGGATTTAAAAAAAAAAAAAAAAAGGAAAAAAAGCTTATGGAGAACTGCTGGGAGCTTTTATTTCTTAAGAAAAAAAAAATGAATAGCATGCTAGAGTAACCTGAGAGATAATTTGTGGAAGCTACCTCTGCTTTTCTGAATAGAGGTAGATGTGGATTTATTTTGCTCCTTTTTAAGCTAGTTCACATTCACACAAACCATATTTATAATAAATGGAGGCATTTTCAACTATCCAGACAAGTTTGGACATTTTATTGGGGACACAAAATGCTAAAATATGCATTGGTGGAAGTCTCTTTTTAAAAAAAATAAAAAGAAAAAAGAAAACAACAGTGATTTTTGGGATGCTTGATAATTGCAGAGAACGTTATCTTATTAGTGTAACATGACATTCTTTTTTGAGAAAAAAAATTACAAGACAAGTTAAAATATCTCCACTATATTCAATTCTAAGCATTTTTTAGCTTCTTCTGCATTGGTCATATGGTCCAGCAGGGGGTGGTAGAACTCCATTTTAATCCTAGAAATGGTTATTTCTGCTCTTCTGTACTCACTGGTCCTTCTATCATTCTTCAGCAAGGTTTGACATTTTGGATATGAAACCTTCCTTTCTCTGCCCTTCTCCTCCCTAAAACTACAGTGTTAGTGGTTGATGAAACACGAATGGATGCAGATTTTATGTTCAGAAAGCAAACACTGCATGTTGCTATAGTTTGTAAAGTGTCTTGTTAAGATGCTGCTCCTTTCCCCTTAATAATACAGAGTATGAAAAATCTCAGTTATAGCAAAATAGCAGGTATAGCCATCTGAAAATACTATTAGCCCAATTGATTCTATTCAGACACTATCAGCGAAAAAAAAATCAACATATACTTTATACTCTGCCCATATGCTGATTTAATCTCAGGAGAGCTTGCTGATTGTGTTTCACTGTTCATTGATAATATAGACAGGCATTTCTGAATACCAAGAGGCAGCCCCTGAAAACTGTAGTTAAAATACCACTGCAATTAACCAAGGGTAGACGGTGTAGAACAAGATGGGGGCATGATCAGAAGCAAGTTCCTGCAGACTTGTGATTTCATTGTCACTGATTTGGAGAAGAAAAATGCTTCCGTTGTGGAGTCTGTTGAGTTTACCAAGGTAGTCATAAAGTGTGCTGGAATTTGGGGAATGCCAGGGAAATCTAGGGATGTTTGGCACACGCAGACACCTAGGTATCCTATCTCTGAAATCACGATTCCCACGATTTATAATTCAGAATGCTGGGCATGATAAAGAGGAGCTCCCAGGCTGATGCCCACATTCCCTGTAATAAAACAGGGGTGAGGACAGTGTCGTTTTACAGATCTATCTAGTACCATTTAAAAAAACGCATGGCACTCACAGAGGCATAGATGCACATCCGAGAGCCCTGGCTTTTGTGAAACAGAAACATGCAGCCCTTCTGTGTCCTGTGTCCTCAGGAAGTCAGAGGGGCTGAGACACAGCAAGCCTGATCCGGGAGTGCAATCTTTCCCTGCTAGGGTTTTGTTCTCCAATTAAGGATGTAGCGGCAAGTATCAGACACACCACTGGGAGCAGTTTTTTTTTTTTTTTTTTTTAAATGAATCTAGTGCAACTCATCATTTTGTTTATTCTTTTATAATAAAGGGGGCATGAAAAAGCCTCCAGCGAGTGATCCCTGGGTTTGCCTTTAGAAAGACCGAAGCCCTGGCTCGCTGATTTATGTTTCCAACAATATACTTGCAGGGGATTTTATGAAGCATGATTGAAGCTATTGCTTTGGAAAGTGGTGTGCCGTTCGACTGGGGAAAGGCAACAGTGATGTATCCCCTTTTAAGAAGTCAAAACGTTTTGAACGGCAGCCGTTGAACGGGAGAAAATGACAGAAATGAAAAACGGACTAACTTAAGTGGATGCCAATACTATAATTAGCCAACGCGGCCTAATAGTTCTGTTTTGTAACTTTCAACACAATGTTGTTATTGTTCTACTTAGCAAGAGCCTTTTTCTATTGTAGCAGAAATGCTTCTTTAAAAGCCTGCCATTTCCACTGCGAGATTAATATCTAATGAAGTCAGGTTGGGGTTGATTGTCAAGTCGGAATTTAATCATCAGTGGGAAGGAGGTTCTATGATTCTAACTTCTGCAATTACGTTCTCTTTGTATTCAAAACTTGATCCCATCCTCTGTCCTCCTAAATCTCAAGGGATCACTTGAAGTCTGTGGTCACAGTGTGTTTGCTGTTTGGATCTATGTCAATGTAGATTCCCAAATGTGCTGTATTCCTGAAGCCTTTTTAATGTCTAAATTAAGTTCCTTCTTTAAAAAAGAATATGATCCCAGTATGATTAAGGTCCATCAGTGGATGTCCACATATACAAAATAGAAGCATTGTTGTGTAAAAATGGAAGGTAAAAACAGAGCTATCCATCTTTCTGACTGTCCAGTTCACCCATATGTAGTCAGAGTACTTACCTAAACCAAAATTAGGGGTACGGAGGGGGGTGGAAAGGGGGGTCGGGTTGGGTGAAGAGGGATTAATTGCCCAGTTATTGGCTTACATGTACAGGCATCTGCTTGTATTGACTCTTTATAGGGAAGTGCTTTATGGTGAAGTCATCATTCATTAGAAAAGTCTGCCTCCAGCTGAAACCAGTTTGGCTCAGTGGATAGAGTGTCGGCCTGTGGACTAAAGGTTCCCAGGTTCTATACCAGTCAAGGGCATGCACCTTGGTTGTGAACACATCCCTGGGGGGGGGGGGGGTGCAGGAGGCAGCTGATCCATGATTCTCTCTCATCAATGTTTCTAAAACTCTTTATCCCTCTCTTTTCCTCTCTGTAAAAGTCAATTAAATATATTTTTTTAAAAGAAAAGTGTACCTCCAAAAAACAAAGCATGGATGTCTAACAGTGTCAGGTCTACAGGTAGGTCCCCACAGATCTATCTTCTGTGCAGGGAGTTCCCCATCCTTCTTCTCTCTACCCTGGTCTCGTTCTTTGAGGTACACCTCCTTGTGCTAGGTGCCTACTGAATCAACTCCATATCCATTTGCCCTTAGAGAAGATAAGCTATGCCAATCCACGTCATTGGTTCCAGCCCATAACCCAGAACGTTTCCGCCCATGTTTTCTGTCAAAGGAGTTAAGCAGGGCATTTGGTCACTTTGTTGATTTTGGAGCCCAGAGAGCAAGAAGGGAAGTCAGGGGGTCCCTGATGTCTAAGGAGTCTTTTCAGAGACACAAGGGGTAATGTTCTCCCACAGGTACTGTCCTGGTAAACAGCCATTAGTGGAACAAAAGAACCTCATTCAGTACAGGAAGAAAGTCTAACTTCATATAATTTAGTAAAAAAAAAAAAAAAAAAGCAAGCTTATCTTCAAACATAGAACTAGTTTGATTGGGACTGAGAAGGGACCTAGCAGAGATTGAGGCTGGTAACCAAGCTGAAGAGTAATTTGTTTTCATCTGGTTCCCTGTGAGGGAGCAAAGCAGAGGGAAGCAGGGTTGTCAATCTGAAGTTCCTGGCACAACCAGCCCTGCCGCTTTCTCTCTGGCTTTTGACATTTGGAAAATGATTTTAATTTGTCTGTTTTCAGGGTCATCTCTCACAGCACTGAACTTTCAAGAGCATGAAGAAAGTGCTCGATAAGTGGTGGAGCTGGTCTGAATTGCTTTTGTTATTTGCGTCCAAAACAAAATTAATCCTCTGGGCGTTGGTGCATGCAAAATTAATTTAATAACTTTAATATCCTTGTAAAAGGAAAATCATTGTTTTTCAAGTTTTATTGACCTAGATTCTAAATTCCTCGTGCTCTTTATACTATCCCAACTATATTGAAGACAGGCCTATTTAAAAGATTATAAATTAGTTTTAATTTCCCAAATTATCTGTTAGGAGAGCACTTTAAGATGCAAGCAGTGCTTTTATGCTTTTATTAAATGTAATATCCCTGAGCTTCTGAGAGCCAAGCTATCTTTAATTGTTCAGCAAATAAAAGTGCTTTATATGGAATTCTTTAAAATATTTTTACTGACTTTTAACTATTTACAATTATAACGATAGTGCAGATACCAAATAACCATCAGTGACCTTTCCGGTCTCACGTATTCATCCGGTCTCACTATCAATAGTTAAGAGAGATGATGGGGAATTTTGAGAGTAGTCATGAGCATACCAATCAACAAATGGGACTTTGAAGAATTTCAGGTCAATGGACCAAAATTACCGTGGCTGCATTTTGTTATTAAAGCTAGTAGGGAAAGGGAAAGAACGTTGTAT